TTTTAAGGTTTGAAGAATAATGCCATTTGACCTGTATAAACCACAATTTGGTTAGAAGATTTAGTCCAATGATAACAGTGCATACAATTTAAGAGCACAGGCTGGTTTAAAAACTAAATTTTCTCTCCCGATTTAGATTTTACATCAACTTGTTTATTATTTATGTGACATTGATTTTTTCAAGGATAGATACGAAAAAATATTAAATACAACCCTTTCTTTTAAAAATAGTAATTCTTCTTTAATTATTTCAAAATGCACTGTGGAAATTCATCAAACGTGAAGAAGTTCTAGTTTTTCTCAGAGCTAAAACTAAACTCCTTACAAAAGAAAAAAGTTATTGATATATTTTTAAACAGCGAGTTCAAATGAATTTTCAGTTACAAGAAAAACAAAAACAGCAACAGCAAAACCCCCAATAAAAACAAACAAGCCAATCATTGTTACCAACTAAAGAATGAGGAAGAAAATTTGATTGCCTCGCTACAGTGAATCCAAGTCCCAGTATTAACGAAACCATCACGAGTCATTGTCTGGAATATGTGTTGGGGGAGGAAAAGGGCTATTTTCGAAGGCGGATTAACGCTGGATTTGGTTTCTTGTGAAAACATGTTTTTTTTGATTATTGAATCTCTGGATTCCGTTTGCACAATACAAACAGCCATAAGCTGCCAGCAGTTTAAAAACTAGGGATATTTATTATCCATTAGACTGGAATATTGTTTTTAATCATAATCTCACAATTTGTTGACTGATTTACATGTCCACGAAGAACATAATATGTGACGTCATAGAGAACATAACGAAATAATGGTTTGCATTGAAAACAAATTAGCGTAAGATGCAATTTTCAAGTTTCTTTAAGTTTTTTGTTAGAAATAAAATCGAAATTTTTCATCCATGCAGCTTTGTTCCTTTTTCTTCCTCATTATTAGCAATAAAATCATGAACTCTTTACATACATGCAGCTCTAGTCATATTTCCTTTTCATTTAGCAAATAAAAAAGAAATCGTTTCTCATCCCTGTTGCTTCTTCCTCATTTTTTAAAAATTTTTAACAATAAAATATGAACCATTTTATCCACGCGGCTTCGTTCTCTTTCCTTTTAATTTAAAAGTATAAGCATTCAAAAACTTGCATTAAAAATTTGTCATAATGAAACAAGTTAAACATATCACCATAGCAACTTCGTGAAAAGTATACATGCAGAGGGTAGCAAGTTCTCTTGCCCTGACCCTCGTTGTAATGTGGTTCTCTTCAAAGGACTTTGAATTTAACTATATTTCATTGACATTAGAAAACAAATGTGGTTCGGTAACAAGTTTTCCAACTTTGGTGCAGGCCTTCCTCTAAATGAAAATCACCTTAGACAAATGGGGGATACTTGATATAGTAATATTTATATACGTATTGCAATGAATCATTGGCCAAATGTACATTACACTCCATGGAAAATGGGATCAGGTTAATTACATAATGATTCATGAATTCCATGGTTAATAAACAAGTCATTTTTACAACACTACTTTTTCTGATTATTAGGTGGAGTAAACAACAGTTCCTTTCAATATATGCATAATATTGTGGGTTTGTTTTCAAAATATGTATAGTATTTGGGTTGTTCCCTTCAACATATGTACAGTATTGAGATTGTTCCTTTCGAGTTGTTCCTTTCAACATGTGCATAGTATTTGGGTTGTTCCCTTCAACATATGTACAGTATTGGGATTGTTCCTGGCAGCATATGTATAGTATTGGGGTTGTTCCTTTCGAGTTGTTCCTTTGAACATGTGCATAGTATTTGGGTTGTTCCTTGCAGCATATGTATATAATTGGCGTTGTTTCTTGCAACATATGTACAGTAACAGTATTCGGATTGTTCCTTGCAGCATATTTTTAGTATTGGGGTTGTTTATTTCGAGTTGTTTCTTTTAACATATGCATAGTATTGGGGTTGTTCCTTACAACGTATGCATATTATTTGGGTTGTTCCTTGCAACATATGCATATTATTTGGGTTGTTCCTTGCAACATACGCATATCATTGGGGTTGTTCCTTGCAACGTATGCATATTATTTGGGTTGTTCCTTGCAAAATATGCATATTATTTGGGTTGTTCCTTGCAACATATGCATATTATTTGGGTTTTTCCTTGCAACATATGCATACCATTGGGGTTGTTCCTTGCAACATATACATAATATTTGGGTTGTTCCTTGCAAAATATGCATATTATTTGGGTTGTTCCTTGCAACATATGCATATCATTGGGGTTGTTCCTTGCAACGTATGCATATTATTTGGGTTGTTCCTTGCAACATATGCATACCATTGGGGTTGTTCCTTGCAACATATACATAATATTTGGGTTGTTCCTTGCAAAATATGCATATTATTTGGGTCGTTCCTTGCAACATGTATAGTACCGGGGTTGTTCGTTTCAATGTATACATACTATTGGGTTGTTCTTTGCAACACATGCATATTATTTGGTTGGTTCACGTTTGTCACAAGTAATAAGTTGTCACACACTGATAAGAAAAGTCTTTCATTTTCAGGAATTTTGTTTTATGGATTCGACTAAGAATTTCTGTCGATATGACTTAGGAACAACAAATTGATAGCTCACTGACCAGCGGGTATTTCAGGTGGCCTCCATGTATTATTTAAGAAACCAATTTTGCACAAACTAAGAAACTGGTACTTGTGTCTTCAGTTTCGCTACTAGCTCTCTGTAACAAACATATCTCAGGATCTTGTTCCTTTTCCACAACGGATTTTCTTTTGTTGTACCGATGATAATAATAAAGAGCAAGAGTAGTAAAAAAAACGAATCTTGGGGTGAAACAATACACTTTTTCCGGGTATCGATACAATTCACGATACGTAGCCTGCGATACGATACATATCGATATACTTGATGGTCTTTCCATCTTTGAAAAGTTTGTGGTGTCCCTTTGTTTTTGACATAATAGTTGTATTTCCAGTATGTAGATTACATATTAAAAATAGTTATCATATATTTATATGCAATTCTATTCAATGACAGGAAAACAAAAATACAGACTACCTGTTGATTGTCAGTGAGTTTTTTGAACATTTTAGGTTACTGAATGGTGGCTCCATTTAACTCACTTTTGACCCAAGTCCCTTTGTTGTGCACTGTATGAATGCTTTGAAAGCATCTTATTACCAATTGCATATCTCACTTAAACTTGGAAGACATTACGATGTTATCTTCAAAACAGAAGAAAAAGCAATTTCCTTTTGCAAAGTAAATCTCACCTTGAACAAATCTGTGCACGGGTATGAGGATGAATACCAACAAAATCTGTCACATTGTACTTCCAGCAGATGCAAAAGACTGCTGTGGTCGCATGTACTTGTTATTTATGTTTGTATTTGTTAATGAAGAGGGAAAACTATTGCCAACACCCAGTCCTAATCAATAATTATTTTAATTATTTCTTACACGAGGTGATAAACTTCAGCTTTTTGAAATCTGCCACTGCTTATTATGTGGTAATTTTATAATTCTTCAGCACCTTCATTCACTGGTTCAATATCTCTGCATAGAAGGAGATATTCCAAATTTGTTCCACATGTACAATTAAAGCAGAGATGCTGCCAGGATTTTATCTTAAGGGGGACGTCACCCCTTGACACCGAAAGAAGAAGAGAATAGGAATAAGGAGGCGGAGGAGAAAACAGTCATGGTTTAATTTTACCTAACGCCTAATTACTTCCCTTTTTTGATTTCAACTGAAATCAAAATCTTTAAATGATATCTCCTTTATTTTTTTAAACATTAATCTATTAATTATTTTTAGTATACTCTGTTCCTTATCTGTGCATTAATATTTTCTGTGGTTTTTTTCTGAAAGGGCAGATGCATAGCAAGCCTTCAAAACTTGAAGATTCTTGGAAACTAATATTTGTAGGTGTTATTTAGAATTTTCCAGAGCTCACATATATTATCAGTTGGAAACATCTGCTTCAAAATCTTCAAAATAAGGATTTTTTCATTTACACTAAACTTATTTCATGAATTAGCAGTTAACTGATTTTCATGGCAGGTTTCTTATCTGTTCCATAATGCTGTATTAGGGGTTTTAGTCACTCAATGACATAATCTGCTTGTGAAGAAAGATGTATCAAAATAAATAACTTCGTTTCTTAATTTCATTTTCTTTTCATTTTTACTTATTCAGTTATCTTAACCCTGATGTGGGTTTATGGTTTTATAACATATGATTCGCATGGCTAAACTGTTTGATAAAAAAGAAAATTGCATTTTACTTTCTAATTGTGTTTTTTAATTAGGTTCAGTATTCTACCCTTTTTACATTTTATTTCGTTATACCGCTGAAAGGGAGACTGACCGTCATGCCCTCTATTCTTGTCCATCCAACATGTATATTTGTATCGTATTTAACACCATTTTTGGGCCCACTGGTATGTCCATTAACAATTTGCCAGCTCCAATAATCCAATATACTTCATAGCTTTAAAAAATATTGCCATCATCGCTATCACAAGCCAGTATCTGGCGAACGAGAATGAATCACGACGAGAACTAGACATTTTCGCTATTTCTAGAAGGACCTTATTTGTTCAAACTATGTCATAACGCTTATTTCAGGGCACAATGTGCCAGTCAGATTTAATTTAACAACCACTTTTGTCATGCTTGAAGACCCCAGATTTATAAAAAGTTGCCTACCCGAAAGACATGCCGCGACAAGAACGGTTTTAAAAAATGGATATACTTAGCCGATCACATTTTCACATGCGGGACTGTCAACTTATCAATAGTCTCCAAGTGTGCATACATATTTTGCACGATTCACGCAATTACACACGCTGACAATATATTGTTTCACTCCTAGTGTGACCAATACCTCTTCAATGATCAATTCGAGGAGCAAAAGGGACATCATCAAAAGACTGATCAATAAATGTGTCAGCTAAAGCAATAAGTTCCTGATCAACACAACCGCTCCGATGGCTTAGTGGTTAGAGCGTAGGTCTCGGAAGCGGGAGGTCGTGGATTCAATCTCCAGTCGAGTCATACCAAAAACGTACAAAATTATACTAACAGCTGCCTCTCTTGACGCTCAGCATTAAGAGGTTAGTGTTATGACTGGTCGGCCTGGTGTCAAGATAATGTGACTGGGTGGGACATCTTGCTACATGTTTGCGACATGATGTCCAAGTAATAGACATCACTATAAAGTGTCACGCTGCAGACATCGTAGCGATATAACTGAAAAAGTGTTAAAGCTACGTTAAAAATCATAATCACATCACATCATATCACATCCTGATCAACGTCATTCTCAAGAGCTCTTTTTGACGTAGCTCTGATAACTGCACAAGCAAATATGACTCAGCATTTCATTGTCAATAGGATAAAAATTTTGATCTAAACAAGGATTTGCAGTTACAAATGGATTAACCACTTGTAATAAATTAATACTTTGGGTAAAGAAGCCACTGTTTCGACAGTCACGGGCCTATGAGGCTAAGTCTGATGAGAAACGTACATAATGGAGAAGAACATTAATAAAGCTGCACCATACTCTGAATATGAACACTCACACTATGAGAATACTTCTCACATAATGGCAAAGAACTTAGAAGCAAGTATGTCCCTTAATACCGGAATTGGAATAGGCTCGGCAGAAGCACCAATAAGTGATACAGAACCTTTTGACATTAATAACTCGTTATTCTCCATAATAAAATTAGTCCGACCCAACAAATGTATTGCTTTCGATAGCAAACCGTGACCTTGACATTATAAATAAGAGCATTTTGAATAGTTCTGTCTTGTTGCTTATATTTCAATTGGTAGCAATCAGAACTAACTTCTTACAATAAATACACATACGAAGAGATAAGCATTTGTGATCAGTCTTTTCAGAAATTTAATTTCTAAAGATTGCGACAGACTATGATTTGGAAGTACTCGTATGAGATTGACATGGGTTGTTTTTATACATTAAAAAAAACTGCTGATACGAAGACTTGCTGACAACGAAACTTTGTGAGTCGAGGAAGTGTCATTAGTTGTACGAGCATTATTTTCTAAAATTCTGATTTTTGCACATCGTGGTAGCTCTTGAAGTCTTCAACTAATATAAGCTGTATGGGGTTATTTTTATCGTGATCAATCTTCATGGCTGAACACCACCCATAAAATAATTGTTTTGTTTTCCTTGCAAAATCGATATGGGTGTGCTCGATTTCTTTTATATAACTCCTAATCCTTTGTCGATATGTCTCAGCTATAAGCTCAACACTTCAAGATATATTACTCATCATAATTAGTACTTTGCATCGACAGTGAAGTATAGACTTTACAACCTTTGCCAATAAGCACACCTTGTAATAATTAAGTCCAATCCTCTGTCGAAAATTTTAATTTTTTAGCAATTTTCTCAATTGAGAAAAATATTGATCTACATTGTTTTCTTTAAAAGGGGATACTAACTTAATATTTCTGGAAACATCAATACTTGAACGTGTATGTAAATGGGGTGGGTGGGAGTCTTCCCGCTTGCCAGTTCCAATTATTTTACTCTAAACTGTATTTCACTTTCTTCTTTCCCACTTTTGCATTTATCTTTATTATTTTTCTTTCACACTCTGCACTTGCATTTGTCTTTATTATTTTTCTTTCGCACTCTGCACTCTCCCTTCTTTTTCACTCTGTCGCTTCTTTTGTTCTCTCTGAATTCAAATTTCTCTTTTTTTTCTCTTTGCATTTATATTTTCTCTCTCTCTCTCTCTCTCTCTCTCTCTCTCTCTCTCTCTCTCTCTCTCTCTCTCTCTCTCTCTCTCTCTCTCTCTCTCTCTCTCTCTCTCTCTCCAAAGCATTTTCATCCCAAAAAGCTTTTCCACCAAATATTCACTTTCTTACCGGTATATCCATTAGACATTTTGTTACCGTCAATAAATTAAAATCTTGTTACCTATGAACACATTAGATGCTTTGTTACCAGTGAATACGACTGCCTCCCAGTGTTGTGATATTATGGGAATAAGCAAGGTATGATTTGTTCGAGCTAAATCGATTTACGTCTTATGTTTCGTGCTCGGATGAATGAAGAAAACAACCTATCTGGAACCATTTTAAAATTCACTGAATTTCATAGTATTTCATTTAAAACATTGTTTACGTGTGCAATGAGACAAAATGTGAAATGACGAGGTCTGTAAGTACCAGAAATTAATGATTTCCGCGAGTAAACCGGAAACGGAAAGGCAAATGAATGTCAATGTCAATGTCAAAACAAGTTAAGAAATTATAGAAATACCTAAATGGTAATGCATACACATAAAGTCTGCATCTCATTTGTGACCAAACGTTTATGCATAGAAATCCTGCAAATCTTAGAAAAGATTCTCGTTGAAAAAAGCAATCTCTCTCTCTCTCTCTCTCTCTCTCTCTCTCTCTCTCTCTCTCTCTCTCTCTCTCTCTCTCTCTCTCTCTCTCTGCGTACATACATACATACATACATACATACATACATACATACATACATACATACATACATACATACATACATACATACATACATACATACATACATACATACATACATACATACATACATACATACATACATACATACATACATACATACATACATACATACATACATACATACATACAGAGAGAGAGAGAGAGAGAGAGAGAGAGAGAGAGAGAGAGAGAGAGAGAGATTATGATGATGCAGTCGCAAAATGAAAAATTCATTATGTATCTTGACTCGAATTCGTCGATCGGAGAAAGGACCTCGTTGGATCTACAGAAGGAACAGTAGTAGCAGCTGTAAATTTGTGGTCTGTAGCAACTATGAAAGGAACGAAAACCGGAGAATTCATATAATATACAATATATTCAAATAATATACAATTTGTCCTCGAGTTAAATGAGGCTGTTTTTTTTTTAATGTTTGTTATACATCCATCAAGTTTTTCTTTCATTAGGCCGTCTTAATTTGAAAAAAGAATCTTGTTTTGCCTGCTGATTAGGTGAAGCAAGAAAATTGCATTAAATTTCAGTTATGTCTGCTGGCCAAATCTGCAATACGATAACTAAATTTAACCTAAGATATGCCTGCTGGTAAACTGCAGTAAGATAATTGCATATACTTATGATGTAAATGTTTCCTTCCATAAATCACGCACCATCGTATGCAACCCCAATTAGAAACATTTAATTTTATATACTCATTACCACAGGGTAAATTCTTACGAGTTGTTTTTTGTCTGTTTGGCGCATAACGCCATTTCTCAGCGCAAGATAGGCTATTCATGACGGTCAGTAAAACAGGCGGAGGAAGAACCTGGGAAACTGGAGTAAGAACCATTGACCAACGGGAAACTACTGGCAGCTTTCTCACATGCCATGAATGGCCGATCGATAAAGGCTAAACCATTGGGCCATTTTTACCTTTTTAATTTACATTCTCTTATATTTGACGAAAAGGGTGCAGAAAACCCCCCATAAAAGTACAAGATTTGTATTGAAAGGATAAAATTTCCACATTTGCCAAATCTGCCGAAAATTTACAACCTTTGCAAAACAAATATCTCTGCCTTAAACACATGGCCATACAAAAGATAAAGTGATGCTCAGACTTGTACTAGCATGAAGTTCTGAAAGTTGAACTCATGCTCACATTTGAACTATTCTAAAGTTCTATAACCTTGATGGTTCTAATCCTCAAGGCCAACGACATAGGTTAAAAAAAGTCATGCAATTTGGAAAAGCTGAGTCGCCATATTTGACTGAGCTATTGTTACGAGGTCATTTATTTAATATATGGGTATTTTAAAGTGTTTTCATACCAAAGTACATAATGCTCCAAAGGCAATTACATGTCATACACTACTCAAAGAAAGATAACTGATTATCCGATCATCTGTTATCTTTGGTAAACACTGTCAGTTACTTGAAAGGTTTGATTAATATGAACTTGAAGCAAAACGTACCCTCAATCAAAGCTAAAAGCCAATATGGCGTCTTAAATTTCCAGGAATGCGTCACTTCCGATAATGTAGGTTGTTGGAGGTGAGCCTGCTGTCATGAAAATTTATATATTATTGTTAAGTTTATTTTATGTTCTCACAGTTTCGTTGCTATAGAACCTGGAAAAAAACTGGATATTGTTTTAAAGATACAAGTAATTTTGTACAATTTTGATGAATGAACGGGATGAACATTTTGTAGCGCTTGATACTTATGACACATGTAAAGCTCGAGAAAACTGCTAATAAAATGTGCACTCGCTTGCTCTAGGATATTTCAAATTTGAGCTGTTCCACAACACAAGTGACCTCTTCCTCATAGAGTATGCTAGTAATCGTCTTTCCGTAATACTGGCAGCTTTTTAATTATGATCTGCGAGACTTGTTATATCACCGGAAGTAACACAGGAAATAACCACTACAAAGATGGCGTCGAACTACTTAGTGAATCAAAAGTGTATAGCAAATGCAGTAATTGTTCTTTGGAACATAACTATTGAAAAAAAAAAAACAATTCCGTCTATCCGGATAAAATTTATAAAAAGCTCTGTCCTGAATTCATGAAAGTAAAAATAACGTTTGATTTGACCTAACTATATATACCTTTTGTATGTCACATGTATTTCATGATTTGTAGAATGGATAATTCAATTAACATTGAAATTCAAAGCTTTGTAAATAAAAATCAAACATTTACACTGTTTGATTATCAATTGGAGATAAATCCGTAAATTATATTTTATAGACACAATTACGAGCGCGCAGGCTCAAACGCGCGCCCGTGTGCATAAAAAGCTGCCTGTTTCGTCAAAATTTATCCGTTGAAATGTACCAACCATTTCATTTAATGAATGATTATTTCCCTTTTCTTTCATCCTTTGCTGAAATATTCAGCGTCACTAGACCTAAACCACTGTCCGTGCGTTCAGGTGTCTACTTTTTAAGCGAAAACTTATTTGTCTTGAATAAGAAAAGAACAATTGAACCCCTGCACGTTCCAGAGCAAGGAACTGTTAGATCCATAAGGTC